CCCTGATTAAAACACTCTGGGGGTTTTCTGGTACCTTCAGGATAAACCCTGACTCCTTCCCTATGGCCCTAAGTAATCTAGCCTAGACAGCTCTCCTTTCCCACCCTTCTCCCTTGGCTACCTCCCCTCTTCCTTCTCTCCCTTCCACCTCTACTCCAGCCACTAAGGCCTCTCTGTGGCTGGCTCAGAGGTTACCCTCAGAGGGACCTTCTTTGCCTACCTTATCTAAATAAGCTGCCTACTCCTTTTTTCACAGCATCTATTATTTGAAGTAGGAGCTCTGGTAGCATAGTGCCTAAGGCACTTGACTGCTAACCAGAAGGCTGGTGGTTCAAACCCACCAGCCACTCCTCGGAAGGAAGGTTGGGCAATCTACTTACGTAGGGATACTGCCTCGGAAACCCAAGGAGGGGTTGCTATGAGTTGGGTCTGACTTGACAGCACATAACAACAACAACATTATTTGAAGTTATATTATTTATTTGCTTATTTGTCTTCAGTGTTATAGCCTCAGTACTGAGAACAATGCCTATAACAATGCATAGGTGTTTAATAAATGTTGAATGGATAAATTCCTACTTGGCCACAATCAGCAGGAACTGAGTGCAGCTTCCCCTTTAAAATGTGCCAGTTTGCCACAGTCCCTACCACTCCCTCTTGTCTCCCTGACTCTGAGGATGTCAAGAACCTTAAATCATCTTGCTTGCTGTGTTGTTTTTCTTACAAGTGTCCATATCACTATCAAAAGACAAAAAATGAAGATGGACCCAGTCTACACCATTGAAATCTGATGCCAGCCTGACTTGTGTGTACGTGTATGTGAGCCTTGTATGCATGCGTGTGGACAGAACATGAGCTTCTAACTCCTCATTTTTATGCTGATGGAAACCAGATTCACTCCTCTGTGCTTCAGTCCTGCCTCCCTGCTGCTTCCTGAATGTACCCCACACACACACATAAGTCCCACTAGCTCCTCAGTTCAGCTTCCCCAAACCCCATGCCCTGCCATCCACCACAAACCTGCCCCTCGTCCCATGTCCCCATCTTGGTAATGGCTATCCATAAGCCCAAAGCCTGGGGACCCAATGGTTACCAGTATCACTGAGTCCCTATCCAGGGACCCGAGGTCTAGTGAGGGATGCAGAGAGGTACAAAAAGCTACATATGGGTGGCTTGAGGCTGGTTAGGGAAGGAACAAGGGGCTATGGGAACCCAAAGGAGGCTGGTCAGCAAAGAAAGCTCACTAGATGAGGCAGTGTTTAAACTGAGACCTGAAGGCTCAGTAAGAGATAATCTGGTAAGGAGGGAGGGAAAGACTCCCCAGCACAGGGTGTATGATTTTGGAGGCTGAGATGAGAGAGAATATGAAGCCTTGGAAGAACCCAGAGAGGTTGCAAATGTGTGTCTTTGTGTGTGAGAGAGAGTGTGCATGTGGGTGCTTTGAATGTGGGAATGGGTAACCAGAGATAAAGCCCAGGAGGTAAGTAGGTACAGAGGGGCTTAGAAGCACATGAAGGAATTGGACTTGACCCTAAAGGTAATATAAAGTCATTAAAGGTTTGAGGTTTGTCTTATTTTTCTCTTCCCCACTTTTTGTAAAGTAGTACATGCACATATAACCAAAATACAGACATCACAAAAAGGCATACAGAGAAAAAAGTCTCACTTCCTAGAGGCAATCACTGCTAAAAGTTTCATGGATTCTGTTGCAGAATTTTTATCTTTATACGTGAACCCATAAATATGTGTCTGCCTTTTTCCTTGGCTATATGCATGGGACCCTCATAACCATCTTGCCCCTTGGGGTTTTGTGTTTTTTTGAGGTGGTATTATTAAGCAATGTATTTTTTTTTTCAATTTTTGAAATGTAATGTTATCACCACTGTATCACAACTGAGCCATTCATCTTGTAGCCTCATCAGCATTAACTAGTTTGTTTTCATGGTTTTGCTGAGGAATCATCTGTTTCTGCAGGAGCTCGAAGGGAAGACTGTTTGAGAAGTGTGCAGGTTCCTTTTGTATATCTACAAAAAAGCTTAATTTACTCAGTTAACTTTTTCATCATGCACACTGTTTATCTTAAGATTCATGCTAACTGGTTTTACTTAAAATTTTTTTTGCTTATGTGAAATACCAAAAGGTCAGTGGTTCGAACCACCAGCTGCTCTGCAGAAGAAAGACGGGGCAGTCTGCTTCCGTAAATGTTTACAGCCTTGGAAACCCAATGGGGGTTGCTATGAGTTGGAATCGACTCAATGGCAGTGAGTGTTTTGTGTGTGTGTGTGTGTGTGTGTGTGTGTGATATGAAATATAGAGTCCCTGGGTGGTACAAATGGTTAAGCTTTAGGCTGCTAACTGAAAGGTTGGGGGTTTAAGTCCACCCAGAGGTGCCTCAGAAGAAAGGTCTGGCAATCTACTTCCAAAAAATCAGCCACTGAAAACCCTATGGAGCAATTCTACTCTGACACGCATGGGGTCACCATGAGTGGGAACTGACTCAAGCAACTGCTTTTCTTTTTTATGTGAAATACATTCTGGTCTTCTGTGCTTTCAGGGTATCATTGTCTTTGATACCTTTGTGCAGCAGCTCAAACCCCAGGTGATACCATCCCCTGACTTTCATCACTTAATTTATTTTGGACCTTTCACCTCATCACTCCATACATTCTGAAAACTGCATGGTGTCATGTGTGGGTGTCTTGCATTTCATGTAACCTGCTTCCTGGTTGTCTACATCACCAGCCATACATACATAAGATGTACTTCTGCTGTACCACCAGTCCATTTTCAGGACCCTTCCTGGATGTGGACTTGCTGGCTCAAATGCTATCTACATTGTAAACTTTGATAGGAACTGACAAATGTCCTTCCAAAAAATGACAACCAACTTAATTTCCCAGCAAGAGTCAGGAGGGTTTTGAGCAGGGGAGGGACATGATTGGATCTACATCTTTGACAGATCGTTTAAGTCATTCATTGAACAAGTATTGATTGGGAGCTTACTTACTTATTACATGCCAGTCATTGTTCTAAACTCTGAGGATATATCAGTGAGCACAACAAACTCCCCACCCTCCTAGGGCTGACATTCTAAGTGGAGAGACAAACCATAAACAATAAACAAATAATATGTAATATGTCAGATGGTGTCATGTTCTATGAAGAACACTGGAATGGGGCAAGGGATCTGAGCAGTGCCAGCCAGAGTGGGAGAGGAGGCTGTTTTATACAGGATGGGAAACCTTAGGAAGCAAACTATGCAGGTGTCTGGAGGGGAAACATTCTAGGCAGAGGAAACAGCCAATGCAAAGGCAGAGGGCATTCAAGGATCAGGGAGATGGCCAGTGTAGCTGAAGCAGCTTAATGGACAGGGAGCATCGTGGGAGACAAGGTCAAGAGAGGTAATGGGCCCAGAAAATGCAGGGTGTGGGCCACTGTAATGTTTGCTTTTACTTTGAGTGGAGACACTGCATGATTTTGAGTACAAGAAGGCCAAGATCTGACTTGAGTTTTACTAAGATCACTCTGGCTGCTCTGTTGAAAGTCAACAATTGTAGGCAGTGAAGAGAAAAGCAGGGATTATCCAGGTGAGAGGTGATGGGGGCTCAGCCCAACTTCTGGATATATTTTGAAGGTAAAGCCATTGAATTTTGCTGATGGATGGGACATGGGGTGTGAGAGAAAGTCAAGGGTGACTCGAGGGATGTTGACCTGAGCACTAGAGAGATGGCCTTGGGAGAAGATGGTGAGAATAGGTTTAAGGACATCAGGAGCTCTGCTCACCTTGACTGTTGAGTGGGAAGTGGAATAGGGGAACCTGTAGCTTCAGGTGCCTTCTGGACCCTCTTCCTGGATGTCCCCAGGCACCACAAACTCGTCTAGTCCAGAGTGGAACTCCCCCTCCTTCAGATCTCCTGTCCAGTACCATTACCCAGCAACCTCTGTGCCACCAGAATCCTGCCTCACCCCCTACAACCAGTTGATTTCCTGTTACTTTTCCTCCAGTTCCTTCAATTTGGCCTCCAGGTCTCCATCCCCAGGACCTCTCTTGCACTGGTTCTCATCTAGACTTTGCAACTGCTCAAGACCTCTAACAGAGAAGTGCTAGATGAATGAGTGAATGAGTGAACAGCTTCCTCAGAGGTCTTGGCTGGCCTCTCTCTTCCTTCATCTCAGCCTCCATGCCATCCTGGAATAATCTTTGAAAAGGCATTCGTCTGACCATGTCCCTCCCTTGACTAAACTCTTCAGTTCCCCAGAGCCTATACAAACATAATTTGATAGCCTACAGACATGTTTTACTTGGCCCACATAGTATTTTTTGTTTGTTTATTTGAATTAAGTAGGGACTTTTTCATTAAAATTCTGAATTTCCCACTTCTCTTGAGACACTGAAAGAGCTGGTACGACCAGGTCCACATTTCTCCACAGCAGCACTTGGCCAAGGTGAGTGATAGCTCCCCTTTTAGTTTAGACATGTACTTTCTGACTTGCCACAGTCTCCACTACTCCCTCTTATATTCAGTCCACTTCCCTCACTTGAGTAACCTACCTGGTCCCTATGGCCTCAGAGTTTGCAGCCCCTGGCCTAAAAAGGCAAATGCATAACTTCTGGGTAGCCAATGCATGGGATGGGGCTGACAAGGGAAATGTGATAGTAGGTGATATTGAAAACTTAAGCTGAGGCCAAGTTGTAAAGGATCTCGAATGCCAGCTTAAGTCTGCCCTTTATCCAGAGGGCCACTGGAGCAGTGACTTGGTTGGATTTGTGTTTTCAGTGCAGGCCCACTGAACAGGAGGGACCCAAAATAGGGACAGAGAATCTGGTGAGGAGGCCCTACTGCTAGGAGGGCCTGTGGAAGTACAATCTACCTTCTGGCAGTCTCCTTTGAAGAAGGAGGAGGCTTTTTCCCCACTGAGTCTCCCCTGAGTCTGAGTCTGCTCTCTCTGTATTTCAGAACCAGGTAGCAGCCACGGGCCCAGCATGGTCGTGAGAGCAGATGGGCAGTGCTGAAGACACAGCCTGGCTCCAATTGCTTCAGAAGGACCTGACCCCTGCAGAACCACAGCCCACAGACATCTCCTGCACACAAGATGGGAGTCTGGGGGCTGGGGACCCAGCCATGAGGGACTGCTGCCCCTCCCAGCAAAAGGCCAGCTCTGCACCCTTCAGGCATACCCCTGACCAAGGCCCAGGCATGGACTCTAGACACAGCAGCCCCAGTGGAGCTGGGGAAGGGGCCTCCTGTTCTGAGGGCCCTGGTGGGAGCTTGGCTTGCTCTTCTCCAACCTGCATCCCTCCCCAAGAGGCAGCCACTAAGGGGACACTGGGGGCACATGAAGCTTCGATCTTAGGGACACTAGAAACCACCTTTTCTGGGAAACCAGGGGTTTTGAAAGCAGATTCTGTGTCCTTAGTGAAAACTGATCCCACATGCTCAGAGAACAGAAATCCTATGTTCTTAGAAAAGATGGATTCCAAGTCTGCAAAGAAGGCAGATTCTACTTCCACAGCAAAGGAAGATGCTGAGTCCTTGAGAAAGACAGATCCTATGGTTATAGAACAGGCAGAGCCTGCCATCCTGGGAAAAGGAGATCCTGTATCTTCTGGAAAAACAGATCCTGGATCCTTGGGGAAGGAGGATCACATGTCCTCTAGCAAAGAGAATGAAGTATCCCCAAGGAAGGACGATCCTGGATCTTTGAGAAAGGAGGATCATGTGTTCTCAGGCAAAGTGGAGCCTGTGTTCACAAGAAAGGAGGAACCCAGCTGCTTAGGTAAAGAGCATCCTGTATCCTCAGAAAAGGTGAGTCCTGCATCCTTGGGAAAGGCAGATCATGGGCCCTCAGGAAAGGTGGATCCCATGTCCTTGGAAAACATGGGTTCTGCATCTGCAGGAAAGACAGATCCAGGGTCCTTGAGAAAACTGACTCCAGGATCATCAGGCAAGACAGAACCTGTATTGTCTGGAACAGCAGATCCTGGGGCCTCAAGAAGAGTGGATCCTACAGGCTTGGGAATGGCAGATCCTGCATCTAGGGGAAATGCAGAAACTGTGTCCTGCACAAAAGAGGACACCAAGTTCCTGGGAAAGATGGACCCTGCCCCCTCAGGAAAGGGAGATCCCACGACTGAGAGAATGATAAAAACTGTATCTGCTGGGCAGGTGGATCCTGTGTTTTCTGGAAAGATGGATTCCATATCTTTGAAAAATGTGGAGCCCATGTCTTCAGACAAGGTGGGTCCTTTTTCCTTGGGAACTGTGGGTCCTGTGTCCCCAGGAAAGCTAGAACCCTTGTCTTCTGGGCAGGCTGAGCTTGTATCTGTGGGAGAGACAGAAAATGCATCCTCAGAAAAAGAGGCCCCTGTGTTCTCCAGGAAGGTAGATCCCATTTCTGTGGGAAATATAAAAGCATCATCTTCTGGAACAGTGAATCCTGAATCTTTGGGGAAGAAAGACCCCTTGTCCTCGGGTCCAGGGGATCCCAAGTCCTTGGGGACTGGAGGGCTCCCATCTTCAGTAAAAGCTGAAACAATGATTAAGGGGGAAGTGGGTCCACTGTCCTTGGGGAAGGCAGATCCTGTTGTCTCTATGAAGGCTGAGTCCCTGGCCTTGGGCAAGGTGGACCCTGTGATGGCTAGGGGAAAGGCAGAAGCTAGCCCCTCTGGAGAAATGGACACTCTGTCTTCAGGAAAGATGGACCCCATGACTCCAGGACAAACAGTCCTCCTGTCCTTGGGGAGTGTGGATCCCATGTCCTCAGGAAAAGCAGAAGCTGCCCCAGTTGAAAAGGAGGATCCTCCACCTCCAGAGAAGGAAAATCCTGTAAACTCCAGAAAGGTGGCTCCCAGTGCCTCAGGGAAAGCAGAGCCGAAGTCTGGGGACAAAGCAGAACAGAAGCCCCCAGGGAAAGAGGGCCTCACTTCATCAGGAAAAGCAGAGGCCGTATATTTGCAGAAGGAGAAACCACTGGCATCGGTGGATCCTGGCTCCTCGGGAAAAGCTGACCTCATTTCTTCCAAGAAGGTGGCTCCCGTGGTCCTGGGGAAGGCATCTTCAGCGTCTCAGTCTTCGAGAGAAGCAGAGCCCCAAGCCTTGGGGAAGGTGGCCCCTCTGACTCTGGAAAAGGCCGAGGCCTCCCCTGTTAGACAGTCAGATGGCCAACCCCGCGGCACAGCCACTTCTCCCGGGGGTCTCGGGAGCGGCGTGAGTCACGCAGAGCCAGAACCCACGTCCCGCACCGAGGCCTGCAGCCTCAGCCCGAAAGACCTGGTGGCCACCGGGACCACAAAAAGCCCTGGCTCCGAAGCTGCAGCGCACCCGTTAGGGCCGCGGACTCGCGACAACTTCACCAAGGCACCATCGTGGGAAGCGAGCGCCCTCCCGCCGCCGCGCGAGGACGCGGGCACTCAGGCGGGAGCGCAAGCCTGTGTTTCGGTGGCTGTGAGCCCTATGTCTCCGCAGGACGGTGCAGGCGGCCCGGCCTTCAGCTTCCAGGCGGCTCCTCGCGCACCTAGCCCCGCGCCCAGGCCACCCTCGCGCCGGGACGCGGGCCTGCAGGTATCTCTGGGAGCAGCCGAGACACGCTCGGTGGCCACCGGGCCCATGACGCCTCAGGCTGCCGCACCGCCAGCCTTCCCTGAAGTGCGGGTGCGCCCGGGTTCGGCGCTGGCGGCCGCCGCGGCGCCCCCGGAGGCGGCCGAACCTGTGCGTGATGTAAGCTGGGACGAAAAAGGCATGACATGGGAGGTGTACGGCGCCTCGATGGAGGTGGAGGTGTTGGGCATGGCCATCCAGAAGCACTTGGAGCGGCAGATAGAGGAGCACGGCCGCCAAGGGGCGCAGGCGCCGCCAACCACCGCCCGCCCGGACCCTGGCCGCTCGGGCTCAGTGCGCGCCGCGCCCTCTGAGAGCGCAGCCAAGCGCCCACCCGGCCTCTTCCGTGCGCTGCTGCAGAGTGTTCGGCGGCCGCGGTGCTGCTCGCGGGCCGGACCCACGGCCGAGTGATCTCTACCCCTTTTGTACGCTGACACCCGAGTTTCCAACCTTTTAAGGCTTCCTTCTTGACCCAGGCCCCTAGAAAGGATTCCCTCAGCGCACGTCAGAACCCTGAAGGGTAAGCAGCCTCTAGGTTCCTTTTGAGCCCCGTCTTTCCAGCCCACTTTCCTTCCAGACCCACACAATGAACCCCGTCTACTCAGCTCCCTCGTGGCCATGAGCCCACGAACCCAGTCCTCATGAGCCCACGAACCCAGTCCTCGTGACCTCAGCTCCACTCCTGGTCACACTGGGCAACCATGAGGACCTGTTCAGTACCCCACCCTCTTCTCTCAGAGCCAGGGAAGCTTCTGAGACATCCAGACTGGTGTGTTAAGGCCTCCAGAGGGGCCAGGTCCCCAGAAACTGAGAGATTGTGTGTACAAATCTTTGAATGGATAAAGCTCCACTGTGCAAGGTTTGGTGTGTGGGACCTCTGAGTGTGCAAGGATCTGAATGTGTGGCCCTGGGTGTGTGAAGCTCTGAAAGAGTGTGTGAGTGTGTCCATGCCTCAGACTGGCCCTCAGGGCCTGGGCATATCCTGCATGTCATTGTAGTCCTTCCCCAATCCATCAGTGCCCAAAGACTTGGTCTCCCATCTCTGTCTCCCTTGCATCTGGTCACTGGTTCGTAGTTCCCAAATAGGCCAAAAACAGCCCCAGGTTGTGTCCTGGGGACTCAGCTGAGAGGGAGGGTTGAAGAAAGGTCAGAAGGTCTCAGGCCAGGAGGTCACAGTTGGAGGGTCATGGAAGGTCTCAAGCCACAGGCAGCCTGGTGACAGTTGGTCTCGGGGACAGGACAGAGAGCTCATTCTACAACACAGTTACCCTTTAAAGACCACCCACTCCACCCCCATGTCACCCTGTGCTGTGAGCCTCCACAAGTCCCTTGTGACCACTCAGTGCCCTTCTCCCCACTCCTCCAGCCATGTTTTTGGCTACAAATTGTCACAGTATACATTGGTAATAAAATCTTTCCCAATCCTTGTCTGTTGTGATTGACTGAAAGCAGAAGGGGATAGGGCAACAAGATATATTATTGTACCCATAGCCCTGGGTGTGGGTCTGGAAAAGCAGGGAGCTATGTGGGGCTCTGTGGCAGGGCCTGCATCACAGGTCTGTGGTGTCCAGGCCAGCGTTGGTGAAGGATAATGCTTCCTGCTGGCTGCTGGTGCCGGCCTGCCTTCCTGACAGCACCAGGCTCAGGGGCTCTGCATCTGGCTCCATGGGACTGGACAGTGGCTCCTTCTAGGGGGACAGGGAAGGCAGGTATGAAGGGCATGGGCAAGATGAGGTGCTCTCCCAGACCCTGGAGGAGGGGGCAGGTCTCCAAGCCTATTCCCAGATGGCTTCATGGCTGGGGAATCCCACCCTGGGCCTGTTTTCTGGCTGTGTCCCATGGTGGTACAGATGGGCCTGAGAGGGTCTACCTGGCCTTTGCCCCACCTATGGACACACCGGCACTTTGGTAATCTGAGTCACACCTGTGTCAAGGAGCCATCAAGGTGGCTCCTGCCATGTGTACCTTGTGGCAGGCATGGAGCTGGACATGCTCCATTCATTACTTGGATTATTATCACAAAGGATGGGATTTCTCTCCCATTTTACAGATGTACAAACTGAGGCCCAGAGGGTTTTCATGGCCTGGAAGGGGCAGAGCAGAATTTGGACCACTCTAAAGTCTTTGTCCTGTCCACAGTGTGCTGCTGTCCCTGGTTGAATTTAGCATCTCTCTCCTGCAGCCCTCAAAGGGACACAGCATGCCCAGGGTCTCACCTAAAGTTCATCATGGTGCACACTCATTTGTCTCATCTGCCCTCCACCCCCCTTCCTGTGTGACATGCAGCAGCACACTCAGACAGCCAGTTACACATCTCACAAGTCTGCCTGCCCATGGACTGACACTAGCCACCCCCCACCAACCTCAGCTACTCCACTGCAGAGACACCAAAGCTCTAGAGCCGCTCCCACCAACATCCTCCCCAGGACACTCCAAGGGCTTTTTCCAGACTGGGGCTATTTTAAGGGGCTCTAAGGGCCTAGTAGATAAGGCATCTGGTTGCTAACCAGAAAGTCAGTGGTTCAAACCCACCAGCTGCTCCATGGAAGGAAGATGGGGCTATCTACTTCTGTAAAGATTTACAGCCTCGCAAACCCAATGGGGGTTGCTATGAGTCAGAATGACTCCATGGCAGTGAGTTTGGTTTTTTGTTGGGGCTGTTCTGATTCCTGGTAAACAGTGGGATATCTGAGGGGCTCCAGAGAGGTGGAACATTCTACCTGTGCTCCGCAGACCCCTCACCACAGACCATGAGCTAGGAGGTATAATGCAGAGTGGTCCAGGACAATGCAGCTGGCCTGTGAGGCAGGAGACCTGGGTCAGATCTGCCCCTGCATTGCAAGCTGTCTGACCTTAAGCAATTCAGTTTCCCTGTTAGTGACTTGAAAAGGGTAGATTGGATGGGCCTTTTGGGTCACTCACACACTCCACACATACATTTATGGAGCTCTGGCATGAACAATTAAGTGCTTGCTGCTAACTGAAAAGTTGGAGGTTCAAATTCACACAGAGGGGCCTTGGTGATCCACTTCTGGAAAATCAGCCATCAAAAGACCTTTTCTGATATACATTGTTTTTTTGGTGTGGGATGAGTCAGTAGCACCAAGGCATTCCCTGAAAAAGGCATGACTATGTGTCCCCTACCCAGGGACAGGAGGGGACAAGAGGGAAGGAGATGGGAGGCTTCTGAGAAAGTCAAATTCCACTACTGCAGGAAGGGGATGGAGCCTCAGAAGCTTCTCAGAATTATAACCCCACCCCCTCTTCCATTTCCCCAGGACAAAGTCTTAAGTTACTTTTTGGCTTTGAAGGCTCCCAGTAACCCAGACCCAGCCTTCTTCTCTCGGTGTTCTCTGTCCTTCCCTATCCTACAGGTCCAACCCCCCATGGGGCTCCTGGCTCCATTCCTGTCAGCTCTGACAGGGTCCAGCCCCTGCCTGGGCCACTGGCCTAATCTCTAAGCTTCTGCCTCAGATCCCCCCAGACACAGGCAGTGGAGTTTTTGCCTCAAATCATCTTCAGAGATCAGTGGTCCACCCTCTCTTGCTGGGGCCCATGTGTGACAAACACAAGAGTGACTTGCTGACCAAATCTTTCCAAGTAATGGGTCATCAGGGAAATACTAAAGTATGAGGGGAAGGCTGGGAGTCTTGGAGGGCAGGGCCTGGCAGAGGATAGGACCCAGCATGGGCAGCACCAAAGGGATGATAGATGCAAGGTGGACAGATGGGTGACACTCCCTACAGAACCACAGACTCAGAATGGGGAGGAGGGAGGAGGGAAGGTGGTTTCTCCTTCTCTTGGTGCCTTGCTCCTTCAGGTAAAGGAGGAGGCCCTCCCACCACCAGGCATAGTCAAGTGGAAGCATCTCTGGCATTAGTTTGTGATGGTGGGTGTTAGATGCTTTTGATTTTTAACTCATAGAGACCTCAGGTGACAGAGTAGAACCACCCCAAAGGGTTTTCTAGGCTATAATCTTTACAGAAGCAGATTGCCAGATCTTCCTCCTTCAGAGCAGCTGAGTGGGTTCAAACCACCAACCTTTAGGTAAGCAGCCCAGCACTTAACCATTGTGTCACCAGAGCTCCTTGCCATTGGCAATAGTGGGGCTTCTGCCTGCCATAAGACCTCAGATACAGTGCTCTGAGACAGGGCAAGGAGGCAGCAAGCAGTAGGTGAAATGCCTCACCTGGATTAGCAGCATCGGCCTTCCCTGGTATCTACTTTCAAAAAACCAGTTCTGTCTGGTCGACTCCAACTCATGGTGCCCCTATGTGTGTCAGAGTAGAACTGTGCTCCATAGGGTTTTCAGTCGCTGAATTTTTTTCTGGAAGTAGATTGCCAGGCCTTTCTTCCAAGGCACCTCTGGGTGGACTTGCACCTCCAACATTTTAGTTAGCAGTCAAGCACTGTTAATCACCCAAGGACTTCTGGGCCCCACCCTATACCTGCTGAATCAGAGACTCCGGGGTGGGACCTTGCAATCTGTGTGTGTAGCAAGCCCTCCTCACGTGACTCTGATGCCCTCTCACATGTGAGAAACTGATTTAATCCAGTAAATCAATCCTCTCAATCCTCACTGCATACTAAAATCCCTTGGGGGAGCTTTTACAACACATCTGTGCCTAGGCCCCACCCCAGGGCAACAGAAACAGGATCTCTGGGGTATGACCTGGGGGCTAATTTTAAAGAGCTCCCCAGGTATGGCCAATCTGCAGCTAGGTTGTGCACTCTTAACCTGATCTAACCACTAACATATTTAACAAACTGCTGCATTGTTCTCTGTTGGAGCCTACCTTCATCTCCTTTGCTGGACTGTGTTTATTCATCTCTCCATCTCTCCCCCACCTTCATCAGTTTTCATGTAAATGATGTAAAGGTATGGAGGCAGACTTGTGAGCACTTGCTTTGGCCAGGTAATATATATGGGTGCTCTCATTTAATTCTCACAACAACCCTGTATAGTTAGTTGGTGTTCCGACCCACATTTTACAGATGAGAAACTAAGAACCAGAAAGAAGTCCTCCACTCCTCTGAGTGGAGGAGCAGGGATTGCACCCTATCTAAAGCCATGGACCTTCCTAGGGCCAGGTGCAGAGATGCAAGGCTATAACTGCTCCCCATGCCTGTAGCAGGTCACTTGAGCTTTGTCCTGACCCCAACCCTTCAGAGAAAGACCCTGAGTCAGATGCCCCAGACACCAACTTACTCCCTGTCTTGCCTTGATTTCCTGCCTGTTCTGGTCCAGGTCCACAGTGTTGTCATCCAGGGAGTTGAGGCTATGGGAGAAGATGGATCTCAGGTAGTTGGCAGGTCCAGCCCTCTCTGACTATAGCCAGAAACCACCACCACCACCTCACGATTACCATCCCACCACTATCATCACCATCATAACTCCTACCACCACTACCACTATCATTCCCATGACCACCATCACCATCACCACCATTACCAACCAGCCTGCCTGTGTAGGATCATTGCTCACCTGACGTGGTCCAAGTCACTAGAGGAAGAGAGGGACTCAAAACCCAGGTCCTTAGTGGGGAGGTTCAGCATGGGGTTGGCACTGTAGAGAAGATGCAGAGTTGGCTTTCCAGTCAAGTGGCCATGGCCCTGAGTCACTCCATGAGGTTTCTTATCCACCCTCGATCCCTGCTCACCGCTCAGCATTGTACACATTAGTCCCAGGGATGGCAGGGGCTGAGGGCATCACCCCCGCTGCTGTCCTCCGGGCCTCCTTGGCAGCCTTCATAGCCCAAAGCTTCCGGCGGTAGCTGTGGGAACCAGGAAGGAGGTCACTACTTGTCCTGCACCCCCATGTGTACCCAGTGCAGGCCTTGAGAGTGCGGCTTCACTATGACACATGCAGGGGGAACTGTTAGCTCCATTTTACAGGGCTCTGTTTTACAGAGAGTCAGAGAAGGGAAGTGATTTGCTAAAGGCCACACAGCTGGCTAGCGGCAAGGTCTGGAATCCCAAACAGATGTGACTCTGACTCCATGTGTATCAGAAAGGGAAAAAGAAGAAGCATTTATTAAATGCATAGTATGTGACAGACATCTTGCTGAGTGTGAGATGTGCATTGCTTCATTAAGTGGACTTTAGGATCATTGCCCATTTTGCAGATGAGGAAACAGAGGCTGGGTTAGAGGTGATTTGTCTATGATCTTACAATGAGTCCCTGGGGATTGAATACAGATATATCTGATACCTAAACCTAAGCCCTTTCTATTCCTCAGGATGTCTTGAGTGGGGGAAGAAGGTGAGAGTTGGAGACACAGGAGGTGATGGGAGCAGCACCTCTTCCGGATACACACGAGGGCCATGGTCATGATCACCAGGACCAGCAGCAAAGCCAGCCCAAGTCCCACGATGACGCTTACAAGCACCTTTGGCTGGTCTGACTCCTGGCTCTCCTGGGAGCCCTAAATTAGAAGGGTGAATGAGAGGTGCTGTGGGGCTACCGTCCCCACTTCACTCCCAAGTGACCTCCACTGTGCCACCACTTACCACCACCACCAGGCCCAGCTGCAGCAATTGTGTCAGTGAGTCCTGGTCTTTCCGGATCATCCTGGCCACAGAATCCACTCAGACCGAGGGACATTGGCACCCCTAGATATCCTGCTCACCCTCCTCCCACCCTGAAGGTGACCCTACTCACACAATCAGCTCATTAACGGTCAGGGCAGACCCATTTGGGAAGACGAAGTAGGCATCGAGGTAGGAGCGGCTCCGGGCCCTCAAATGGGATGGAGTGAAGTGTCAACAGCCCAGAGTTACCCAGAAGCCCCCGTCTCTTGTCTTCACTCTCAACCCCTGGGCCAATGGTCACTCACCGAGTTGTGGTGTCTATGTTCTGAATGCTCACAATGTAGACAGTAGTCCTTGTTGCCTGGGCAAGAGCCCTGCAAAGGGAGTGGGTGTCACAGAGGCCTGGAGTGGGAGCCTCGGCCCAGGCCAATGGCCAGGGTTCTGCCAGTGGAATTAGGAATTGTGGGAGTTAGAAAAGGGCACCTTCTCTGGACAGACCAAACCCCATTGGCTCAGCAGCTAGCACCTCTGTGCAAACTGGGAAAAAATACCCCTTCCTCTGGGGCTGGACTCACAACCTGGCAAGCAGAATGTATCTTTGTGCAGTGTACAGCCTTTAAAACTGTACATGGCACCTTTGATTAGATCTTCCTCTGCCCAACCAGCCACAGGCTCTCAGGGCATGGGGAAAAGAGGTGCAGGCACAAATATTGGGTCAAAAACAGGGACCAGGCAAAACTGGATATTGATTTGCAGAAAAATGAAACAAGATCTGTACCTCACACCATACACAAAAATGAACTCCAGATGGATCAAAGACTTAAATGTGAAACCTAAAACTATAGAGTTCCTCAAGGAAAATCTAGGGGCAAATTTAGGGGCCCTAATATATGGCATACATAGACTATCAAGCATAACTCAAAATGCACAAACAGCAGAAGAGAAACCAGATGATTGGGACCTTCTAAAAATTAAATTTTTATGTGCTTCCAAAGACTTCTCCGAAAGTGTCAAAAGAGAACCTACAGATTGGGAAAAAATATTTGCTAATGACATATCTGACAAGGAACTTATCTATAGAATTTATAGAAAATCCCAACACCTCAATAACAAAAAATACAAACAATCCAATTCAAAAATGGGCAGAAGACATGAATAGACACTTCACCAAGGAGGATATTCAAGCAGCCAACAAACATATGAAGAAATGCTCATGATCATTAGCTATTAGAGAGATGCAAATCAAAACAAAAATGAGATACCATCTTGCTCCAGCACTAGTAGCAAAGTTCAACAAGACAGAAAATAACAAATGCTGGCAAGGATGTGGAGAGATTTGGACTCTCATACACTGCTGGTGGGACTGTAAAAAGGTACAACCACTGTGGAAAGCAATATGGCGATTCTTTCAAAGTTGGAATTAGAAATACCATTTGACCCAGCCATTCCACTACTAGGTATACATCCTAAATAATTGAGAGCCATGACAAGAACAGACATATGCACACCCATGTTCATCGCAGCACTATTTACAATAGCCAAAACATGGAAACAACTTAGGGGTCCATCAACTGAGGAATGGATAACCAAACTATGGTATATACACACAATGTAATACTATGCAATGCTAAAGAATAATGTGGAATCTGCAAAACATCACATAATGTGGATGAACATGGAGGACATGCTGAGTGCAATAAGTCAAACACAAAAGGACAAATATTGTATTAGTGTGTTATAGTAAAAGTCAAGGAAAGGTTTATCTATAGAAGGACATTTTCTTTGTTGGTTACCAGCGGTTGAGGAGAGGGGAGGGAACACTGTTAGATAGGTAGAGATAATTATTGATCTGGGTGAAGAGAAGGGCAATGTACCAAACATGAGTGATCAATATGGTGGTATTGAGGAAGAGAAAGACATAGAGAGGTACATGGGAGATACAGATAATAAAGATGAACCCTTTTGCACATACAGTACTGCGTTGTCAGTGAAGGCAAATATAGGTATATGGATGGATAGATGAGTGGACAGGCTGAACTAGTAGGTATGTCTATAAAGCAGGGAGTGTACACAAAAACATGCATAGGGTTGGCAGACAATGGTCCTATAAGTTTATGTGCACGGTCTGAATTCCCAGGTGTATAATAGAGCTGACAAGGGGCAAGGTGGTAGTCACTGCTTGGTCACAGCCAGCTACCCAAAGGGACCGAGTAGTTGAACCTGTGGGATTGGGGACATGTCACAGGGGACATCAAGCTCAATTGGCATAACATACTACACAAAACATTGTTCCACCTCCTACTTTGGTGAGTAGCAATTGGGATCTTCAAAGCTTGCAAGCTGCCATCTAGATGCAACAATGGGTCTCTCCTCATCCAGAGCAAAGAAGAATGAAGAAAACCAAAAATTCATGGAAACAATCAGTCCTAGTGATTGGTACACCATCCGATCTGCAGCCTATACTACTATGAGAACAGAAGAACTAGATGGTGCCCGACTACCAATGTCAACCACATGGAAGGGGATCTATGTAGGAGATCCTGGATAGAGAGGGAGAACAATGTGGACAAAACTCAAAATCATTGGAGGAAAAAAAATGTGGGAAGGACCGGGTTTGCTGGTCCTATAGAGCCTGGTGGAACCACTGAGACTATGGCCCCTAGCTGCCTATCAGGTCTGGAATTGAACCCATACCTGTGGCTTCCAGCCAAACAAAATTCAGGCATATGATTTGAACATTTACCTGAGATAGATACACTCCTTGAAGAGAAAAATCATGGGAGAAAGAAGGGCTGCTTATACACAGGGAGGCCGTTCAGGGGGCAGGACTGCATGGAGGGATGGACACAGAGAAGAGGTCACTATCGGGAGGGGAGCTGTTGCATTGTGGTAAATTGTGGTCAATGTCATGAGACAAAGTGTACAAGAACTGCTGTATGGAAAGTGAATTTGCTCTGTAAATCTTCACCCAAATCACAATTAAAAACAAAACAGGGACCAGGTCAAGTGCGGATCAGAGGCAGAGTTGAGAGACAGTCTGCTCAAGTCTTGTCTAAGGCCAGCCTCCTGGGCCCAGTTCTTCCCCACAGCCCCCTGGGGGGCTCCCCAGACCTACTCCTTAATCTCATCCAGCTTGGCGCCCACCTCCTCCTTGTGCATGGAGAACTGCAGTCTCACGCGATAACTCTGGTCCACAGTGAAGAGCTGCAGGAGAAGGGTGTTGGGGGGAGATGAGGTGCATGGGACCAAAGGATTGTCAGAGGGCCTCAGGAGCTGGTGGCAGGGTCCAGCACTCACGTTCAGGGTGATTCTGGCTTCCTGGGCAGCACCCACAGAAGGTCTGTCCTGGGCCTGGACTGTCACTTGATAGGTGCCTTGGAGAGTGGGATCAAGGTTGGTCACCAGCCTATGGAAGGTGGAGGATACAGCTCAGTCTTGGTAACCTCTGGAATCCACTTGTCCACTTCCCAGGATGGGGAGTTTATTGCCCTGAGGCCCCCTTTTGTTCCACCCCCTCAATCCAGGGCCCTGCCCGCAGTTACTCAATGTTGCCAGTGAACATATTGGCCTCCGAGGAGGTGGAAATCCGGAAGAAGCCCTGGAAAGAGGTGTTGGCTCCGTCCTTAGAGAGGAAGTGTGTTTGAAGGATGGAGAACAAGATGGCCCCATTGTCCCCTGAGTCATCGTCTCTGGCCTAGGAGCAAGAATGGAAAGCGTCAGGCAGCCAGGCCAGGCACTCCGAAGCTCCAGCAGGGGCAGAGGCTGAGGTGGCGTAGGAGGCTAGCCACCATAATCTCCATCAGCCACCCCCAATAGCTGTTGTCCAGTCAATTCCAACTCATGGTGACCCCTGTGTGAGAGTAGAACTGTGCTCCGTAGGGTTTCTTTCCATGGCTGATTTTTCAGAAGTAGGTCACCAGGCCTTCCTTTTGTAGCACCTCTGGAGGGACTCAAACTGCCAACATTTTGGTTAGCAGCCAAGCACTTAACTGTTTGTGCCACCCAAGGACTCCTTCAGCTACTCCCAGGCCACCACAAGTAAGCAAATGCTTTATACTGTGTGCTTGCTCTGCAAGTCCAGATTTGCACAAGTCCCTGCTTCCTCCACCACCACCCTCAACAGATCACAGTTGAGAAGTCCTTCCCATGTGGAGACCTGCTCTGCCTGTCTCCCACATACACAAACACAGGGATGCTCAGATTCCCTGAGCACATACTATGTGGCAAGTCCTTACCCTGGGTCCTCTCATTTCAGTGCTTGCCAAAGTGAGTACAAATTCCCCTAATGGATCATGAAATTACTGGGGAGGGCAACATTTTCATTCATTCTATTGCCTTTTATGAGTTCTGGTGGCTCTGTGGTTAAGGCATTGGGCTGCTAACCAAAATGTGAGTGGTTTGAATCCACCAGCTGCTCCATGGGAGGAAGATAAGGTAACCTACTTCTGTAAAGATTTACAGCCTTGAAACCTGAGGGGGACACTATGTGTTAAAATTGACTCAGTGGCAGTGGTTTGTTTTTTGGTTTAGTGCCTTTTAGAGAAAAATAGAACCAACTCATAAAGCTGTGAATTCACTGACAATATTGCTCAGGATGAGGCCAAAGTTAGTGTTCAATTTCAGAAAGGAGGCCATTTGAAGAAAATTGTTAAACCAGTAATACACAGAGGTTCACAACCAAGGCCAAACTCACAACACTGGAATGTAATTGACTGAAGATTGCCAGTTGGGGAAACTAACTGTTGAAGATTCGGAAACTGTCCCTCTATTCTACCCCCCAACAAAAATAAACAGTTGCGGGTTCCGGCAAGATGGTGGACTAGGCAGAAGGATTGCACAGACACTCTTCAACAAAGAAAAGGGAAACCAATTAACACAAACACAGAAGATAATCGTAGACCCCTGAGCCTTGAAGGGAAGGATATAGAATTGGACTAAACCCCAATTAGCAGAAGAATTTGCGTGAAAATACCAAAAAAAGGAGACATACGGAGCTGCGGTCTGACAGAGAACAGAGTGACCCTGACAGTACAGG